GCTGCGGGGGCCGGGGGGGCTCGGCCATATCCCCTCACCCCGTCCTCCCCCCAGGTACTACCACAGCCTCTTCACCGAGTACCTGCCCGCGGGGCTGCGGGAGCTGGTGGACGGGCTGGCCGCCTGCGAGGACATCCTGATGAACGTCCTGGTGGCCGCTGTCACCAAGCTGCCACCCATCAAGGTGACCCAGCGCAAGCAGCTGAAGGAGGGGGTGGCCCAGCAGGCGGGGTGCAGCGATGGGGCTGCGGGGACCCCCCCGGCCCCTCGCTCTGCCCCTGCCCGGGCGGGGGGCACGGCGGGCAGCCCGCGTTCCTCCCAGCCACAGGACTGCCTCAACCAGCTGGCAGACTGGTTTGGCTACATGCCCCTGGTGCCCTCCCGGCTGCGCCTGGACCCCGTCCTCTTCAAGGACCAGGTCTCCGTCCTGCGCAAGAAATACCCGAGCTTGGAGAAGCCGTGAGGGCTCCGGGGTCGGGGCGGGCTCCCGGTGCCGCTCCCGCTGCTCGGAGCCCTCCGGGGGCAGGCTCGCTGCTGACGGGGTTTTACCCGTTATTGGGTTTTTTAACAGTGCAATAAAGGAGGGGGGAGTGTAGGATCCGGATGGTGGCTGTGGGGTGTGGGGGAAGCACCGGGAGAACCGGGAGCACCGGCTTTTGGCTGCTGCAACACTTCTGCCTTCGGCACCCTGGGAATAACCCGGGCAGCCCCCGCAGGCCTGCGGGGAGGGAGAGTCCTTCACCTTCCCGAGAGCAAACAGAGGAGCGATAAGAGCTGTGTGTGACCTCCCTCCCCGGCTCCAGCTGGGTGTCCCGCAGTCCCCGGGCAGCCCAGCACCCCATCGCCTCGCAGCGCTCCCCGGAGAAAGGAAAAGGCGTGTTCCAGCTGGCTTTCCTCCCAGCTGAATAGAAATACGGAATATTAGGTGGCCTCCAAGAGCCACCCTCAGGCTGCCGCAGCCCTGGGTCTGTCCTTGGCTCCCGCCGATAGCGGAGATAACACCCAGAGCCAACATCCCCCCGCGCAGCCCGTGCGCGCTGCTTTATTTGCCGCACATGAAAAGCGCCCCGCGGCGCGGGGGCGGGGGTCAGTCGCGGGGGGGCTGGCATTCCCGGCAGTCCCGCATCTCCTCGGAGTAGCTCTCCACCTGGATGGTGGTGCTGTGGAAGCGGAAGGCGCCCTGCAGCCGGGAGCTCGCCTCCTCCAGCACCTCCTGCGCGCTGGCAGCCGCGTCTGCGAGGGGGGAGGCCGCGGGTGTGGGGGTGCGGGGAGACCCCGGCCCTCCCCGCCCGCTGTGACACCCACTGAGGGAGACGTGCACCCAGAGCAGCTGCTCTGGCACCCCGGTCCCCCGTTGTGACACTCACTGATGGCTCTGGCACCCTTGTCCCCATGTTGTGACATTCCCTGGTGGCTCTGTCCCCCCGTAGTTACACTCACTGGTGGCTCTGGCACACCTGTCCCCGTGTTTTGACACTCACTGTGGCTCTGTCCCCACACTGTGACACTCCCTGATGGCTCTGTCCCCCTGTGTGACCCTCACGGTGGCTCTGTCCCCCTGTGTGTCACTCACTGATGGCCCTGTCCCCCTGCTATGACACTCCCTAGTGGCTTTGTCCCCCTCGCTGCAATACTCATGGTGGCCCTGTCCCCCCTGTGTGACACTCCCTGGTGGCTCTGTCCCCCTGTGTGTCACTCACTGATGGCTCTGTCCCCTGCTATGACACTCCCTGGTGGCTTTGTCCCCCTCACTGCAATACTCATGGTGGCCCTGTCCCCCCTGTGTGACACTCCCTGGTGGCTCTGTCCCCCTGTGTGACCCTCACGGTGGCCCTGTCCTGCTGTGTGTCACTCCCTGGCATCCCTGTCCCCACGTGTGACACTCCCTGGTGGCTCTGTCCCCCTGTGTGACCCTCACGGTGGCCCTGTGTCACTCCCTGGTACCCCTATCCCCCTGTGTGTCACTCCCTGGCGCCCCTGTCCCCCCGTGTGACCCTCCCGGCGGCCCTGTGTCACTCACTGATGGCCCTGTCCCCCTGTGTGACCCTCACGGTGGCCCTGTCCCCCTGTGTGTCACTCCCTGGCGCCCCTGTCCCCCTGTGTGACACTCCCTGATGGCCCTGTCCCCACGTGTGACACTCCCTGGTGGCCCTGTCCCCCCTGTGTGTCACTCCCTGGCACCCCTGTCCCCCTGTGTGACCCTTCCAGCGGCCCTGTGTCACTCCCTGGCACTCCTGTCCCCCTGTGTGACCCTCCCAGCGGCCCTGTGTCCCTCCCTGATGGCCCTGTCCCCACGTGTGACACTCCCTGATGGCCCTGTCCCCACGTGTGACACTCCCTGGCGCCCCTGTCCCCCTGTGTGACACTCCCTGATGGCCCTGTCCCCATGTGTGACACTCCCTGGTGGCCCTGTCCCCCCTGTGTGTCACTCCCTGGGACCCCTGTCCCCACGTGTGACACTCCCGGCGGCCCTGTGTCACTCACTGATGGCCCTGTCCCCCTGTGTGACCCTCACGGTGGCTCTATCCCCCTGTGTGTCACTCCCTGGCGCCCCTGTCCCCCTGTGTGACCCTCACGGCGGCCCTGTGTCACTCCCTGGCGCCCCTGTCCCCCCGTGTGACACTCCCTGGTGGCCCTGTCCCCCTGCGTGTCACTCACTGATGGCGATGTGCACGGAGAGCAGCGGCTGTGCCGCGGTCAGTGCCCAGATGTGCAGGCTGTGCACGGCCTCCACGCCCCGCACCGCCAGCAGCGTCTCCCGCACGGCGTTGAAGTCCATCCCTTTGGGGGTCCCTGCGGGGGCACGGCAGCTCGGGGACGGCCCCACGGCCCCCCCGGTGGGTGCCCCCGCCGCCCACCCCGCCCCGGGGGTCCCTACCCTCCATGAGGACGAGGAGGACGTCGCGAAGGATGGTCAGCGTTGTCCCCAGCACCAGCGCGGAGAAGAGGAAGGTGCAGATGGGATCCACGAACTTGTACTGGGGCTAAGCATCCTCCTTGCCTCCAGCACCCCCTTTGCCCTCCGCACACCCTTTGTCCCCAAAACCCCTTTTCCCCCCTGCAACCCCTTTGTCCACAGCACCCCGTTTGCCCCCAGCACCCCCTTTTCCCCCAGTACTCCGTTTGTCCTCATCACGGTGAGACCCCCCACCGCCACCCCACCCCAAATTCCCATCAGGACCAGCAGGGTGGGCACACGGCCCTGGCTGTCTCACCCTGTGCCCGGCCACCGCCAGGCTGCTGTCCCCGTGTCCCCAGCACCCCCTTTCCCCCCAGCACCCCAGCACGCCCTTTGACCCCTGTATCCCCTTTATGCCCAGCACCCTCTTTTCTCCCATCTTCCCCTTTTCCCCCATCTTCCCCTTTTCCCCCAGCATCAGCACCCCCTTTGCCCCCAGCACCCCCTTTGCCCCCAGCACACCCTTTGACCCCAGCTCCCCCTTTGCCCCTTGCACCCCCTTTCCCCCCAGCACCCCGTTTTCCCGCAGCACCCCCGGACCTTGAAGAAGATGATGTAGGAGGCGACGAGGACGCCGACGCTCTGCAGCAGGTCGCCCAGCACGTGCACGAAGGCGGCGCGGACGCTGGCGCTGGGCGGCTCGCCCGCTGCCCCGTGGCTGTGCCCGTGCCCGGTCTGGTGCAGAGCCAGCCCCATCCTGCGGGCAGGGCACTGCTGACACCCCGGGGCCCCGCGGCCTCAGGGAGGGGACACCCCGCGACAGTGTGGCAGCACGTACACGATGTTGACGGCCACGGCGCAGGCCGAGGTGATGAGCATGACCCCGCCCTCGATGTCGTAGTCACCCGAGAGCAAGCGCTGGGCCCCCAGGTAGACCAGGACCCCCGTCACCACCCAGATGGAGAGCACGGAGAGCAGGGCCCCCAGGATCTCTGCAAAGAGAACCCCCCCCGCCCCATCGCTGCCTCACTGCCGTGCCACCCCCAGCACCATCCCCGGCAGGGCTGGGCACGGCAGGGGCACCCAGCACCCATCCCCGGGATGCTCCTTGCACAGGGCTGGCAGCGCCTCTGCCTTGCCTTGTTCACGGTGCCAGGACTTTGCCAGGGCTCCCCAGGCCCCTCAGGGCACCCCGAAGCCCCTGGGCCACGCGGGGAGGGCACCCCCGGGCGCGGTGCCACCGCGTTACCTGCCCGGTGCCATCCGAAGTTCATGGTTTTGGTGGGGGGCCGTGAGGACACCCAGAGTGCAAAGAGGCTGATCATGATGCTGGCAAAGTCCGTCAGCAGGTGGGCAGCGTCCGTCAGGATGGCCAGGCTGTGTGCCAGGTACCCACCTGTGGACACGGGACATCGGGGGACATCGGGGGGACACGGCAGGGAGCTGGCACAGATCAGCTCACCCCGTGCCACAGGGGGGGTCCCGCTGGGTGTTCTGACCCACAGAAAGCCAACGGGGAGCTCTGGCAGCACCCTCAGCAGGGAACCAGGACACAAGGGGCTCTGGGCGGCCTCTCGGGGTGACCCCACGGGGACCCCAAGGCAGCCGGCACCCAGCACTCACCCACGGCTTCCCCCACCATGAAGAAGAGGCAGATGCCAGCGGCCAGGTAGAGCTTCCTCCTCGCCCGCTGCTGCTGGCCGGGGTGGCCGCCAGCCCCCCGCGTGTGGCAGTGCTGGCCACGCCGTGTCCCCAGCTCCAGGGCGGGCTCCTGTCCCCGCTCCGCGCTCTGCCCGTCCCTCCGCGCAGCCCCCGCGTAGCCCCTGCCGGCCAAAGCGCTGCTTGGGGCTGGGGGGCTTCGGCCGGACCCTGAGTGCTCCCCCTCCCCAGCCCCTTCCCCCGGCCAGACCCCACTGGGGAGCCGCACAGCAGAGGGGGCACGACACCCCCGGCCCCCCCTGGCACCCCCGTACCCGCCTGTGCCCTCGCTCAGGAGGTGCCGCTTCTCGTCTCCGGCTGCCATCCTCCTCCGGGGCCGGGGGGGTCGGCGCGGGTGACCCCGGGCGTGTGGCCGGCGCTGGTGGCAGCCGGTGGCCTTGGCTCGTGTGAAGAGCCGGGATTCGTGTGCAAATCCCGGCTGGAGGAGGGACGGCCAAGCCGGCTGCAAAGCGCCCGCCGAGCCTGCCCCGGGCTGGGCCCCCTCGCCCGGCAGCCGGGGGGCTGCTGTGGTGGGGGGGGGATTGCTCTGCGACCCCCTCCCCGAGCGCCCCCAGGAGCTGCACACCCGGGCTGGGTGCAGGGGGGATGGAATGTCCCCATGTCCCCTCCAAAGGCACGCGGTGACCCCCCCTCCCCGCTTTGGGGAGCCCTCGGAACCCCCCAGTTTGGATCCAGCCGTGTGATGGATGAGCCTGGACCCCCCCTCCACAGCAGAGACTCCTGCCCGCCCTGGGTGAGCAGCGTTAATTACGCTGGGGCTAATTGCCCTTGTGGCTCAGCTCCGGGTGCTGCCTCGGTTTCCCCTCGGCCCCCTCTGAGCAGGACTCATGTTTTTGCAGGAGAAAAGCATTTATGGGGCACTTTTGCGTTTAGGATGTATTATTAGCATTTACGGTGTGTTTTCCCATCCAAGGTGCTTTTCTGAGCTCAGTCAGCAGCAAACCAGCAGCTCGATGCCGAGACCATCCCCATTTCGGGGGCTGGCCCAGCCTGGAGCATCCCCAGCCCGCCCGGTGCCACCTCTCCAGCCCAGGGCAAGCTCTGGACAGGACATCCCATCCCCGGGAGATAAATCCTGCCGGGTGCCGACCTGTTACATCCCGGGCGGGCGGCCAGGAGCGGCTGCCAGAGGTGCTAATGAGGCTGGAAATTAAGAGCTGGACCGGAGGTGTCCCTCTGCCACGCCGGCTGCTGGCAGGGACACCGCTGATGGCACCAGCCCGGCAAAGCCATCCCCGGTGCCCACCGCGGGGCTGGCGAGCCGAGAGCGAGGGGCGAGGAAGAAAATAACCACGCAAAACAGCGGCTTTTCTTTACAAAATACACAAATTTCAAATCCGTGACAATTATATACAAAACAAGGGAATTACAAAACGTGCGGAATTGTCCTATTTGCACCCGTATAGAAAAGTGTCCTGTGCTGGGGCAGCTCCGGCTCTCCAGGCTGCCGGGCCCTGCCCCGTGTCCCCCCCACCCCAAATCCGTCGCCGGACATCCTGTGCCCGGGGGCGTTCCTCCCGCGCCGGCAACGTTGCTGTGGCTACAGGGAAGCTGCTGAGGGAGAGGATGGGGTGATCAAGGAGAGCCCAAGCCCCCCAAGCTCCCCCGTGGGTGCTGAGGGTCCTGGCTGGGCTCTGCCCCTTACCCATCACTGTCCTCTCGGGCGCTGCGTTCTCTTCCACCTCTTCTTCCTCCCCATCAAAGTATTCCTCATCTTCCTCTGCTGCAAGCAAGAGGCTAAAGGTCACCAGGAGCCAGCGGGAGAAGCGGCGGGTGTCACCAGCTGGGTGGGGGTCGCTAAGGGGGCGCTGGGGGCTGAATTACCGGGCTCGAAGTCCAGGGCGTGCACGGCCTCGGTGAGGTGCTCCAGGCTCACGGAGAAGGCGTCCATGCTCTCGTAGCCCTGCTCGATCTTGTCCAGGCGACCACCCTTGGAGGCTTCCACGATCCTGGGCAGGGAGAGCACGGGGGTCTGTGTGTGTGTCCCTGTCCCCTCGCTGAGCTGGGGGCACCAGGGGCACCAGGGCAGGGGGGTCAGGGCAGCGCCCCGCTGGCCAAATCCTGCCCGGGGGGTTTGGATCATGGAGATTCCCTCGGTTTGAGCACTTACGTTTTTATGAGCTGCTTGGCATTCTGTGGAGAGAGAGAAAAGGGGAAGGAGGAGGAGGAGGAGAAGAGGGAGGAAGAGGAGGTGAGTGAAGCCACAGCAACCAGCAGGCCGTCCCCAGCAGTGGGACCCCTCGGGGCGGGTCTGGGGGGTCTCACCATGAGGAAGGCAGCCCCCCCGGTCTCCTCGGCTGCCTGGATGGCAGTCTCCACCAGCCGGCTGGACTTCTCCAGCTGCTCCTTGTACTGGCAGATGAGGCTCTGGATGAAGGCGGTCTTGTCCGCCTGCTCCCGGGAGATGCGCTGCAGCAGCTCCGCCTTCTTCTCCTCCAGCAGCGCCGCCAGCGCGTCAAAGCGAGCGCAGAGCTCCCTCTTGGCCGCCTCGCTGTTCTCCTGCGGCGACAAGCGACAAGGGATGCCACCTGCGTGTCCCTCCGGCACCTGCAGCATCCCTGCTCCGCGGGCTCCGCCCCGCTCCCGGCCGTGCCCGGCTAAGGTTTCACCCCCGGGTTTTTTGGGGGGCTCCTTTCCCCGCTTTGCTCACCTCGGTGCTCTGGCAGGAGTCCTCCAGCTGGGAGATGATGGTCTGGATCCGGTCATTCCCCGCCACCAGCATGGAGATGCAGTTGTTCAGCTCAGTCTGGCGAGCAGAGAGAGAAGGAGTTTTAACTCCTGCGGGGACAGGAGCTGCTCCCACCCCAGCCTGGGCTTTGCTCATCCCCAGCTCTGCTCCTCATCCCTCACCAGCCACGGCTGCTCTAAATATAGTCTGTCTCCTGGGCCAAGTCACCCGGGGGCTATTAATACCCCGTGAGCCAGCCCCGCAGTTATTTGTCACTGTCCCAGCCCGGCACATGGCCCGCAGCCCCCCCGGGTCCCCCCCCAGGCACCTTCTGTCCCTGGAAGACGGTTTGCAGAGGGGCCACCTCGCAGTCCTTGTGGGCACCGAAGACTTTGCACATGGAGCAGGTGGGGACCTCGCAGGTGACGCAGTAGATGTTGATCCGCTCGTCCTCGTGCTCCTTGCACATGGGGTGCTCCCCCTTTTTCAGCGGCCTGCTGGAGAGGGTGGCGCGGCCGCGGTGACGTCCCCGTCGCGGTGACACCCCCAAAAACACACACTGGGTGATGTCCCCGCTACAGGGAGGCCCCTGCCGCCACGGTGTCCCCACTGCAGCGCCACCCCAGCCGAGGTGACACCCCCAAAATCAGATCGCTGGGAAAGAGGCCAGATCCTGGCGTGATCCCACAGCTGCTCCTCGGGAGCCACCGGCCTCTGCGCCCCTGCAAACGCCAGTGTGGCCCAGTTAAAGCCACCGTGGCGCTGGGCATGGCAGCGGGTGGCACTGGGGACGGGGGGGCTGCGATCCAGAGGCGCTGCACCAGTGCCTAATTTTAGCCCTGTGCTGCCCGGATTTATTGTCACCCATCGTGTGACCGGGGTGGGGACACCCAGAAACCCCCGGGGGGTCCCAGACGGGGGCTGCAGCTCAATTGTCCCATCCACAGCGAGGAGGGACATGGGGACAAGCCAGCGCTGTGAACCAGGGACAGGCCTGGGCCCCCCAAGCCCCCCCGGCCACCTGCCACGTGCCATCGTCCCTGTCCCCATGGCTCTCACACAATATTTACAGCAGTTCAGGGGATTTGGCCGGAGCCACTGCTCTGCTTCGAGAGCTGTGACCCCTCTGTCCCCCCCAACGTCATCCCTGTACCCACTGGGCCCCCCCAAACTGTCCCTGTGCCCCTTATCAGCCCCGGTGCCTGTTGTCACAGCAGAGCCTGGATTCCTTCCCCACACCTCTTATCTGCCACCGAATGTTCCAGCAAGAGCTGGGGGGCAGCAGGACGTGCCACCACCCCCCAGGGACCTGCCACCCCCCTGGGACAGCCAGAGGCACAAACTGCTGGGAGAATAGGGTTGGGGGAGGAAGTTTTGCTTTCGGGGAGGAAGTTTGGGGTCCGGGGAAGAAGTTTTGGGTCTGGGGAGGAAGTTTTGAGTTGAAGGAGGAAGATTTTGGTCGAGAGAGGAAGATTTTGGTCAAGGGAAGGAGATTTTGGTTGAGAGAGGGAAATTTTGGTCAAGGGAGGGAGACTTTGGTCGAGAGAGGGAAATTTTGGTCAAGGGAGGGAGATTTTGGTCGAGGGAGGGAGATTTTCACTGAGGGAGGGAGATTTTCGTTGAGGGAGGGAGATTTTGGTCGAGAGATGGAGATTTTGCTCGAGGGAGGGAGATTTGAGTCAGGGAAAGATTTGATTTGGGGATCACTAAGCAGACAGACCCCAGTGCAACCTCTCAGCGTCTCAGTGCTGCTGCTGGGGCACGGGAAGGAGCCATCCCCACCTCCCCACGTCCCCACATCCCCCTGCCCCCCCAGGCACGGGCGGCCGTGCCCACCTGGAGCACTCCTGCTTGTAGATGTCGATGATGTTCTCCACCAGCAGGTTCCTCTGCAGCCCGTAGACGCCGTGGCGGTCCAGCAGCACCTCGTGGCGGCACGAGGGGCACCGGAAGCGGCCCCCCGAAATCAGACTGCCCCGGCTCTGCCAGTACGGGTTGGCAGCCTGGGAGGGGGAGACGAACACGGGCAAGGGGTCCCTGAGTGTCCCCACAAGAGCCCGGTGTCCCCCAGGCCGGGCGCGGGGACCCCCGCTCACCTGGAAGACGTCGTTGGCGCACTTGCGGCAGAGGTTGTGCTGGCAGGGCAGGATCACCACGGGCTTGCTGAACATCTCCAGGCAGATGGGGCAGATCAGCTGCTTCTCCAGGCTCTCCATGGGGCTGCCATCCTGCAGGATACCGCCCTGGAAATCCATGGTGCTCTCCCGGCGGTGCTCTGGCCGCCCCTCGCCCCCGCTATTTATGAGTCGCTCGCTGTCACGCGGCTGCCGCTCCCGGCGGTGTCGGGTGTCCCGGGACAGCACCTGTCACACGCTTCTGTGACACGGCGAGGGCCGGTAAACAAGATGGGCACAGGCTGTCCAGGAGGCGCTGCCCGCCCGTGCCGCTGCCCGGGCTGGAGCTGCGGGGTAAACAGGAGCCATGTGCGGCACGTCCCGCCGCCCCAAAACACCGCAGCGGGGCGAGGAGGGGCAAACGGCAGCCCCCCGGGGTCGTCAGGGCGTTGGGGTGGCTCCAGAGATCTGGCAGAGCTGGCCCAGCCGCAGCAGGGGTGGTTTGTGCAGTTCGTGCCTCTCCCCACCCGAAGCGCGGCCGCTTCTGGGGTGCCAACGCCTCGCCCGTGGCTGCCTGAGGCTGGCGGGGGAGAGGCAGCTCCGGGGAGAAACAGCCCCGGCACAGGGATGGCACAGCCATGGCACAGCCTTGGCACAGTCCTGTCACAGCCTTGGCACAGCCATGGCACAGCCTTGGCACAGTCCTGGCACAGTCCTGGCACAGTCCTGTCAAAGCCTTGGCACAGCCCCGGCACAGGGATGGCACAGCCATGGCACAGTCCTGTCATAGCCCTGGCACAGTCCTGTCACAGCCTTGGCACAGTCCTGTCACAGCCTTGGCACAGCCCCGGCACAGGGATGGCACAGCCATGGCACAGCCTTGGCACAGTCCACTCATAGCCCTGGCACAGTCCTGTCACAGCCTTGGCACAGGGATGGCACAGCCTTGGCACAGCCCCGGCACAGGGATGGCACAGCCTTGGCACAGCCTTGGCACAGTCCTGTCATAGCCCTGGCACAGTCCTGTCACAGCCTTGGCACAGCGATGGCACAAGGATGGCACAGCCATGGCACAGCCTTGGCACAGCCATGGCACAGTCCTGGCACAGGGATGGCACAGCCATGGCACAGTCCTGGCACACCCATGGCACAGTCCTGGCACAGCCATGGCACAGCCATAGTAGAGCCATGGCACAGCCCTGTCAAAACCCTGGCACAGGGATGGCACAGCCTTGGCCCAGCCATGACCCAGCCCTGGCACAGCCCTGTCACAGCCCTGGCACAGCTTTAGCACAGTCATGTCACAGCTCTGGCACAGCCCTGGCACAGTCATGACCCAGCTATGGCACAGGGATTGCACAGCCATGTCACAGCTCTGGCCCAGC